AGAAATTCATGGGTTTTAAGCTACTGAATGCTTTTGGCTAGGAGGCCGGTGAGGGGCTCTAGACAAACGTGTTCAGCTTGGTTCCCAATCAAGCCATGCCCCCGGTAATGAGCGTTTTTAAATGTATTTTTTTTTACTTTTTTAAACTTTTTTTACTTTTAAAACTCTTTTTGAAACTTTTTTGCTTATTACATTTTTTAGACTTTCTTAAACTTTCTTTACACATTTAACATTTTTGTAAACTTTATTTTACCCTTAACCCCTAACTAACAGTAAGCAGCACTAACAGTAAATTCCCCAATTTCCCATAACTCCCACCCACTCCAGCTAGCAAAATATATCATTTTAAAATATTTAAATTAATTAATGAAATAAATTGAACCCCTGAGGGTTAAAAAAAAACCTAAAAGTTAACCCTAAGGGGTTAAAAAAAATTGAATCACAGTATAATACTGTGATCTGCATTTTGATCACTGTAGGTAGTGATCAACTGGCAGGGAAGGGGTTTATTTTTATTAGGACTGGGTAAAGGGGGGTGGTTTTTTAAAACTTTTTTTAAAAACGTTATTAAAACATTTTTTTTTATTTATTTATTTCAGACATGTACCTGCCTTATATGTTAAGGTTTCCATAATTCAGGCCGTGGTACTTTAGTCATTATGAATATTTATTTTATTCTTTAGTGTGCTCCCTGTGAACCCCCTCCCCCCCCCGAAGTTCATATATTTTAGTTATCTGTTCTATTCTGTGGTTTGTTTAATGCATTTCTTGAGGTACCCTCAGGGATTAATTTTTATTTTTATTTTTTTTAAATCAAATGACAGTAAAATGTAGTCCCTGCCAAGTGATCACTGTAGTCCAGACATAGGCAACCATTGGCACTCCAGTTGTTTTGGACTACACCTCCCATGATGCTTTGCCAGCATTGTTGGTCTAAGAGCATTATGGGGGATGGAGTCCACAACATCTGGAGTGCCAAAGATTGCCTATCCCTGCTGTAGTCAGTGATCAATTGGCAGGGAAGGGGTTAATTTTATTAAAGCAGGGGAAAGAGGGGGTGGGATTGTAAACATTTTTCTTTTTTTTTTACAGGGAGAAGATCATCACTGCTGATGTGTTTGCATGCATTTCACACAGAACGCGGAAGCACAGGGAGGTGGATTAGAAGTCCCTGCAGCACATGTGCTTGCTCTGACAGCGATCGCGGCGATCTGGGGTTCACTTTAGCGCATGACGGGCCTGGTCTGTCATCTGGCGTTAAGTGCTTTCCCAGCATGACGGACCAGATCCATCATTCGTCATTAAGGGGTTAAAAGAGGGGATAAGAAACAAAAGGTGGGTTAATAGGCACTCAGGTGAAGATGCTTTCTTGGGGGGGTGGGGGGATGGTCACCAAAATCATCTTCGCCTGTGTACCCAAAAATCCTTGCACTGGCCCTGCATTTTATTCAGGGGAAACAGGACTTTCATTTAATATCAAATATTTAGCTGTGAAACATAATTTAATATGAAAAAATGGGAGAAAATACGATTTTTTAAAAAATTTTTAGTTCTACATGACATTTTAACGGTCAATGTCATAATACTGTTTGCTTTTACTGCAATAAAATACACATATTTGTATTCAGTAAAGTCTCACGTGTAAGACAGTACCCCCTATGTACAGGTTTTATGGCGTTTTGGGAAGTTACAGGGTCAAATATAGCACGTTACATTTGAAATTTAAATTCGCCAGATTGGTTACGTTGCCTTTGAGACTGTATAGTAGCCCGGGAATGAAATTTACACCCATAATGGCATACCATTTGCAATAGTAGACAACCCAAGGTATTGCAAATGGGGTATGTCCAGTCTTCTTTAGTAGCCATTTGGTCACAAACACTGGCCAAAGTTAGCGTTAGTATTTGTTTGTGTGTGAAAATGCAAAAAATGCCAATTTTGGCCAGTGTTTGTGACTAAGTGGCTACTAAAAAAGACTGGACATACCCTGTTTGCAATACCTTGGGTTGTCTACTATTGCAAATGGTATGCCATCATAGGGGTAATTTTCATTATTGGTCTACCATAGGGTCTCAAAGGCAACGTAACCAAGCTGGTGAATTTTAATGTGAAAAAAAGGAAACGCAAGCCTTATATTTGACGTGAAAACACCATAAAACCTGTACATGAGGGGTACTGTTGTACTCGGGAGACTTCGCTGAACACAAATATTTGTGTTTCAAAACAGTAAAAAGTATCACAGCAATAATATTGTCCGTGTAATTCTGTTTGTGCGTGAAAAATGCAAAAAACGTCACTTTTACTGGCGATATCATTGTTTTAATACATTTTACTGTTTTGAAACACTAATATTTGTGTTCAGCGAAGTCTCCCGAGTAGAACAGTACCCCCATGTACAGGTTTTATGGTGTCTCGGAAAGTTATAGGGTTAAATATAGTGCTAGCAAATTAAATTCCCTTTATTTTCGGCATGGGTTGTCAGGCAGGTCCTGCTAATTGTAATTAATTAAGATACCTAATTATGTAAAAATATTACATAAATATATATGTAGAATTAATATATGTGTATATATATATATATATATATTTTCCATAGAAAAAAGGTGCACTCACAGGACTTCTTCCATCAATGATTTTATTCTAAGTTGTGCATTACATTCGTAATCTTCAATCAACGTTTCGACCCCTAAAGGATCTTGAAAAAGACCCTTTAGGGGTCGAAACGTTGATTGAAGATTACGAATGTAATGCACAACTTAGAATAAAATCATTGATGGAAGAAGTCCTGTGAGTGCACCTTTTTTCTATGGAAAATATATATACCCACGCTGAGGTTTGCACCCAGGCAAAGATATCAAAGAAAAAAGTTTTTAATGGGTGAGTGCCAAGAGTATTTTTGTATATATATATATATATATACGTATGTGAATCTATATGTATATATCTATATAATTTTTTTAAAATATTTTTATTTATATATAAATAGCGAAGGCTTGCACTCCTGGTGTAATCCTGTGGTGCCCGGTGCTGGTCTGGCAAGGATCATGTAGACATAGCAGAAATGACCGCACTCCAAGGACTTTATAGAGATTTTCAAATAAAATTTAGCTTTTATTCAATCCATTTAAAAAGTCAACGTTTCAGCTCCCACATGGAGCTTTCATCAGGACAAAACATCATTTATTTATATATAGGTGTATATATATATAGTGATATATACGTATATATTTATGTATATAGATATATTATTTCATTCTACGTGTATTTTGATATATATATATAATAATTTCACAATACAGTTAGAACGAAATAACACACATCTATATATTTTTTAATTATTTTTTTAATTTTATTTTTTAACGTATTTACATTTTCATTTTTTTATATTATATATATATTATATATATAACAATAATTTTATATATATATATATATATATATATTTAATCAGTATCAGTCTACGTGTAATTTGATATTAATATATATAATTATATATATATGTATATATATATTAATAGTAAAATACACCTAGACGGTGTACGTGTGTGTATGTATATGTGTATATATATACTTAGATCATATATATATATATATATAATATATATATATATATATATATATATATGATCTAAGTATATATTTATTTTTTTTACACTATTTAATTTATTTTATTTTTATTTTCAGCCAGCAGGGGGACCACCTGTCATTACAGGCAGCCCCCCTGCTGGCAATGAAGGAGGCAGCTACCCCCGGCCATGTGATTGTGGGGTCCTCGCAAGGACCCCACTCTCACATGGCCGGGGGGCTTCGAGGAGGACGCCGGCGGCCCCACCGCGATCGCCGGCGTGGGACCGCCGGCGACCGGGTAAGTACCGAAAGACCGGAGGGCGTACTATTACGCCTGGCGGCGTTTAGAGCCGCTTAGAATAGGGCGTAATAGTACGCCCTCCGGTCTTAAGGGGTTAAAGATCTATAAGCTTTTTGTTATTAATAAAATACTACACTAGATTTTTATTGTGTTTGAACTTTGAGCTACTGCATATAGACTGTAATCTTGTGAAGATTGCGGCGCTCGGCGCTCATGCGCGTTAGGTCTCCTCGTCGGCTGATGTTGGCAGTGGAGCAGAGGTGGAGCCTGACTCAGTGTCGAGGGACATCGGGGCTTTAATCAGGTAAATGACAAAAGGGTTTTGAACCCTATTTTGGCTGCTCTGGGGGCTGCAAGGGAGGAGCTTACTATAGTGCACTCAGACCACGTCAATTAGCTGAAGTGGTTTCGGTGCCAATAGTGTCCCGTTAAGTTAATGCCACATTAATGATATCATACAGAACAAAATATATTGCTGTACCCATATCACATATCTAAAATATACCCCACCCCCCCTCTAACAACATCAATGATTTCAAGTGATATACTCGATCATATTAATCAGTATTGCTTCAGACATCTGTAAGAGAGGAAAACTCTCAAAAGCTTGTCTCTTGAATACTATGTTAGTCCAATAAAAAAAGATATCATATCATACTGCAATACTCTGATACTGTGTAATCTTATAACCAAAAGAGAGAGAGAGAGAGAGAGAGAGTGTGTGTGTGTGTGTGTGTGTGTGTGATTATTTATCTGAAACCCTACGCTGTATTCACTAAATACAAAAAAGTTGCTTTTGAATTAGCATAATTGAAAAACTAAAAAAGACTAGACAGATAAGAGCACAGGCTTTTTACATCATCTTTTGGTGTGGTTGGTGGAGGTCGCTCTATGTTAAAACCAATTTTTCCAGAAATCTACTTGAAGCCCCAAGGGGTCGCTGGTGTGGAAATAAAGAAGAAGTAAGAGGAGGAGGGGTGGGGAGAAGACAGAGAAAAGAAATGAAAACAACTTTCTTTCCTACTTCTACACAGAAAAAAGCAAGCCTACTGTTTTAGTGGGAGAAGAAAATCGTAATCTGACACCATACTTAACCCTAAGGATAGTAATCGGTGCTCAGGATAAGCGAGGAGCCTGCTGCAGAGTGCACACCTCATGCTGCCCTACAGTCCTGGAGAGGAAAGAGGTGGAGAGTGAGAAGAGCAAGAAAGGAGGAGAGAAACGGGGGAGGGCCGAGCAGGAGAAGATAGTGGGAAAGAAGAAGGAAAATAGGATAGCAAGGAGACAGGCTGAGATTGAGCCAGATAGCGAGAGGGAGGGAGACAGAGAGAAGCAGAGTTAATACCAAAGGAAGATAGAACGTTCAGAACTCGGGGGGAAGAATTAAAGTGAAGAAGGAAGAATCCTGCTGTAGCAGCCTGTTTTGTTTTAACGCAGCGAGTGTCAGAGCAATGGAGAGGGAGATCTCCTGAATTAAAAAGCACTCGAAAACTCTGTCCAACTTCTCCAATGAACCAGAAAGCAGCCCTTGTCATCTTCAGGCGGATGGGTGACCTCTTCCTGCCTATCTGTGTAAGGAGGACATATAATGAAGAAGAACAGCAGCAGCAGCAATAATTACCATAACAGTAACCATCATGTTCCCAAAAACAATGTCCACGGTACTGCAAATAAGTACTGGCTGTCCCTGGTGTCTCAGCGCTTCTCCCTGCGAGATTATGGTTTCTGCATGGCCACGCTGCTCCTCTTCTGCCTGGGTTCTCTCTTTTACCAGCTGAATGGTGGGCCCCCCCAGATTCTGATAGATCTCCGCCTGTACCTGGGTAAGGAACAATATAACAATGTGGTGGCCGAAAGATGGATCTCCTAGTATAAGACTACAAATCTCATAATGCTTTGCCAGCATTTAGAATGGGAATTGTAGTCCTGCACTACCTGGAAAGTTAGCTTTCGGCCACCTGGGATGGAGCAGATTCAACAAGTCTCCTTTGACATTCTAGCTGTTGTGAACTACTTTCCCCACTATGCTCAGCCAGCCAAACGTAGTCCACAATGGCTGGACTGTCCCAGGTTTAGCATTGACTATTTTGTGAACACATTTGTGACACCTTGTTTTTGGACTGTCTCCCCTCTCTTCCTTGACAGCTGGCTTGTTACATGCTGGGAAGCCTTTTTGCTGATTGTGTGTTCGGTGTAACTCTTCTGTGACCTGTGTGGTTTTCATGTGCTGTACACGTGTTATGTGGCAAAACTTCAAACACTGGCACGTGGAGCAGATAATACCAGTTGCTGGACCTGTCCTCTTTAACCATAGACAAGGAGTCCTGCAAGCCATAGGTTCTTAAGCTGCACAGCACGAAATGTCTCCGTTTCCTGTTTTGTGATGTACAGCTTTAATAGCGTGCTGGAAGTGTATTTGCATAGTTTAGTACATACCGCAATTTGTGCTTTAAATCTGTGATCTAGGCATGCTAAGTGGAGGTCATGGAACCATCAAGGTATTACACACAGTATTAATGCAGGATTCCTAATTACATTAAATGTATAGTTTACGTTTACATCATAGTTACTAGTTTATGGCATTGCATCTGTGTAGAAACAGTGTGATAAGGATATTCAGGCACTTTGCTACTTTCACATCCCAATATATAAGTTTCTAGATAAATGTTAAATTGAAACATTTTAACTGGCTGCAAACCTTTCTGCATTTAAGGGCTTTTATTGTGTTTGTCCTTTGTTTTTTTCTAGCTGCTATCTATTGTTTTTTACATGATATATAAGACAGGTTGTGTTCAGAATATACTCAGTTTCAATACAGTTATATTAAGTTGGATCACACTATAAATACACTGCTAAAACCATTCTGTATGCATTTTTCATTTTGTAGGTTGTTTTGTTAGTAACATGTGATAGTCTGGGCATGTTGGGTGCTAGGCCTCCTTGTGAACATCTTTGGGAACGTCCTCATACTTATTTACCAATTTTATGTTAAATGCATTTTATTTTTAAAGGCACCATAACAACTTCATTGAATGAACTTCACTTGAAGCCAGTTTAGAGATTTTTAGAAAACAGAAGGGCAGAGGCATGGAGTTTCGACACTGGGAAAAAAACTTTGGGGTTAAACCATTTGCGAAAGGTTTAGACCCCTTAATGTGAGTCAGTGCCAGGCACCTCCTGACACCATAAGTGCTTCTTTAAAGTAGATCTGTCACCTTCTGGGGTCTTTGCACATTTTGCTTAGATCAACCCATCCACCAATGACTTTACTGCTGGCAGTTGTGGTTGTGGAGTGCAAGGAAATTTGTGTTTTAGTAACCCAAACCTGTTCCTCCACCACCATCTTCTTATATGGGATTCTCTTCCCTCCTGGCTCGTCATCTGCAAAGGGCCAATGTCAGTGCTGTACTCTTAAACATGCGTGAGCTTGCAGCACTGATGTCTATGAAGGATCCCAGAAGATTGTGGGGTAAACAAAGTCATTTCCACCTCCACCATCACTAGTGATGACAGTTTGGCTGCAATAATCCCACCTTTTGTCAAACTTTGTCACATTTAGGAAAAATACATAAAGCAAAGTAGTCTTATACAGTCTTTAGCAGTACAATTCTAACACAGTCAATGTGAGCGTTTCATATAGCTTTTATGCTTGTGAAATCCAATTTTTAGGAGAGGGTTCACAAATCTAATTTAAGAGTGTAGAAAGTCAGGCACACATATTTACAGTAAGATATGTCTTTTAAAAAAAAAAAAAAAAATTTAATCACTGCTAGGCCTCCACTTAATTCACTTATTCATTGCATCTTTAGCTCAGGAAGAACCCATGTTCTGCCACCTGTGGTCTCTGTAAGTGGGGTGAAGTGAATTCTTTATAATCACATGTTTTAACTAAAAGTCCAGCTTGCCCCAAATCAATAGTGAGCTCACTGGTTCTCAGTAGCAAGTTGGTGTAATAAGCTTCATTTCATAGTGCTGTATAATGGGTATCCGGGTTTGTTTGGGGAAAGCCTCAGTTGACATGATGTGAGTTAATTTGTCCTCATTTCAGCTGCAAAGAGGAATTCATATTCTGCATAATTCCACAATGATTCATTACTGTATTGGTTTCTCTCCTGTAGTATTTCATTTCTAAATACAGCAGGATAGCACTTTTCATGTATAGACAATCATAGGTGATATCTCTCCAGAAAACCAGGGTGGATCAGGCAACTCTACCTAGCTGATGATTTGTCATTGGCGACACCAATCCTTGTTCAAGTTGTGGAGCACTCGCATAACCTAAACTATGGCGATTAAAACTTGTGTTTATCAAATTTACTGCTTTGAGGGTTATTCAGTATACACAGAATTGTAATGAATTGAAAATCAAATTGCAACATTTAGGCAAAATACTCAACTCATCTCTTTCACAGTGTGGATATTGTAGCCTAGTTTCACAATTAATTTTTTGGTTCAGTACAACCCACTGTTTAGAATAAACGTCACAGGGTTGCTTCATTAAATGTCATATTGTAAAGAATTGAAATCTGAATTACAACATTCAGAGTAAAATGTCCAAGCTGCCAGTATAGCAGAGTTGGAGAATTATTTTTCCAGTTTTACTATTATTCATTCAATTTGGCCATTTCTAAAATTTGTAGTTAAGTGAATAAACACATGACTATACACTTATCAGCCTAAACATTAAAACCAATGAGAGGTGAAGTGAATAACATTGATGATATCGTTACAGGGGTGGGAAATATTAGGCAACAAGTGAACAATCATTTCTTGAATTTCATGTGTTGGAAGAAGGAAAAATGGTCAAGCAAAAAGATCTGAGTGGCTTTGACAAGGGTCATAATAATTGGATCAGAGCATCTCCAAAACAGCAAGTCTTGTGGGGGTGTTGGCAGTAGGCAGTGGTTAGTACACACCAAAAGTGGTGCAAAGAAGGACAAGGGTCATGTGCCTCCAAGGCTCATTGATGCAAATTGGGAGAAAAGGCTAACCTGTCAGCTTTGATCACACGGAAGAGCATCCGTAGATCAAAATACTGAAAAGCGTAATGCTGGCCATGATAGAAATGTGTCAGAACCGACAGTGCATCACAGTTTTCTGCATATGGGGTTGCGTAGCCACAGATCGGTCAGTCTTCATAATTCAGAGAAAAGGCAGTGTTTACATTGCTCTTAGGGACACCTCCAAGTGGCCACTCCTTAGATGGCCAGTGGCGGGGCTTCCTGGCTCAGGGCTGCAGAGTAAGCAGCCCTGCCATTCAACGTCCCCATGCTCTGCATTGAGACGCTGAATTTCCCTCATAGAGATGCATTGGCCCCGCCCCCGTGCCAATTTTAGCCAATCCAATGCTTTCCTCACGGGAAAGCATTGGATTGGCTAAAAATCAGCCATTTTGATGATGTCACAAAGGGGGCAGAGCCAGCGCCGGCGGATCCACACAACGTTGGAAATATGGTGAGTTTTAAACTTTTATATGGTGAGTTTAGCACAAGAATACATGTTTGTGTTCCTGACCCTATGGTGATCCTGTAAAGGTGTTGCCTTTGCCTCCAAACTCCCCAGATCCCAATCAGGTTGAGCATGTGCTGGGATGACAAATCCGATTCATGGAGGCCCCACCTCGCAACTTGCAGCACTTAATGGATATGCTGCTAATGTCTTGCTGCCAGCTACCATAGGACACATGCAGAGCTTTTTTGGAGTCCTGCCTCAAGACATCAGATCTGTTTTGGTAGCACAACCTGCATGAAATTAGGCAGGTGGTTTTAATGTCGTGGCTGACCAGTGAACATATTTATAGTATTCTGGTATTATTGCTGTCGCTTGTACTATTACATTATTTTGTTAGAGAAACTGTGTTGCTAAAGTAAGAGAAATACAAAATGCTTGAAATAGAAATCCCATCCTAGGATTTCTTTCCTGCAGGTTAATATCTAATATTGCTAAATGTACAGCTCCAAGTAATGGTAAGAACATTGTCTCTTCCTCTGCATTCTGAGCTATTTGTTCAGAATTTTATACTGCATTGGTACATTTTTTTTTTGTACATTTTCAGACAACGCTAATCCATTCGTGGCAGTGATACAGAGGAAACAAGCTTATTCCATCAGTGATAACATTAATGATTACAATAAATCATTGGCCTGGGGCATTTGCCAGTGTGGTCAGTCCCATTCATTGGTTGGTATGGGGGAGTATCAGGTAAAATGCCTCCTCCCAAGAAGCCAGTTGAAATTGTCTGGCTTGCAGCATGGGCTAACTAAAGGGTCATCCCCACTCGGTGCTCAAATGCCTGCATCCAGGCTATTAACATAAATATATTTGCTCCACATACAGGGCAAAGGAGGTATTTAATTGATTTGTCAGGCATAGATCAGGGCACCTGTTTTAGTGTCATAGCAGGAGCTGACACTAAAGTGTGTTCAGGCATTTTGTCACTGGATGCCTATTTGTTAATGTGTGCATCTTCAGTCACTTTTTACCAGTCCACCAGTGCTCCTCACGAGTTTGGGCTCTGATCCATGGGATAATAAATTGTCCTTGAAATATCTGGTTTTGTAAAATGTGCACTGCTCAAAAAAATAAAGGGAACACAAAAATAACACATCCTAGATCTGAATGAATTAAAGATTCTTCTGAAATACTTTGTTCTTTACATAGTTGAATGTGCTGACAACAAAATCACACAAAAACAAAAAAATGGAAATCAAATTTTTCAACCCATGGAGGTCTGGATTTGGAGTCACACTCAAAATTAAAGTGGAAAAACACACTACAGGCTGATCCAACTTTGATGTAATGTCCTTAAAACAAGTCAAAATGAGGCTCAGTAGTGTGTGTGGCCTC